AAAAACTGCGGGGAACCATGCAAAAAACGCACCTTCGCACGGGCAGCCCCTGCGTTGGCCAATTATTTAAATGAGGCTCTAGGTGTAACATCCAATATAACTAACTTCTCCTCTAAATCCAGTTTCAGAGCCTTTCATCCTTTTAATTCCTAGGGGGGTTTCAGCTCCGCAATCCCCCTTTACGTCTATCATCCCTCACCTTGTATTTCTAGCCTTCCCCTCACCTCCAGTCATTGCAACTCGCCTTCCAATACGGTCAAGCTGACTGCTAATAGCTGCCACATTCGTACTCGAAAGGGCAACTACAAAAGACTCGGCTTGGCTTCGCATTATTCTCCCATTTTCATACAAAACGTACCCGTTTTTGCATTAATGAAACACAACAGCATGTCATGGGTAATGTTTCTCCAGACGGTGGACAATGTTCTCCGACCACGGGATAGCTCTCCCCTGCACTCGACAACGTGTTTTAGGGATTAGTAGGGGTGAAAAAAGGGACGACATGGTGCTGGTTTCGACAGCAGAGACCTATGACAAATGAAAGGCTGGGATAGTCAACTACTGGAGCTTGGCTTGGTTCCAGAGATTAACGAGGCATCAGCTACAGGAAAAAATTATCATGAGAAAGATCAAGTCTTGCCTGTCGCAACCGGGGCCATTATTGCAAAAGCAGTAGGGCAGTCTTAATTCTTCATTTTTAATGTATCAGGGTCTCTCGAGTTGTGTGCAAAACAGAGAATCGTATCTACATGCTTACAGGATGGAATGCACAGAAAAAGAGATGTATAAACATGGCTTTGAACAGTCTACACAGAGTTCGATATCAAATTACACGCAGCACTTGCTGCGGACTGTGACAGTACGTCCAAGAAATATTCGATCTGCTCGCAGACATACAAATCGCATTTGTCGTCCTTTTTATCCAACAGACGCACTGTGAGACTGAAAGAAGAAGATACAGTTATCAGAAGTAGGAGCGAATTCTGTCTAATAATGATAAGTGGCGCCCAATCACAAATCCGAGCCGACTGTTCCGAATTGCCAGTCGAAGATCCAGTCCCTTTCGTTGATTCCTAGTTTAAATTGCGGCGAGTGAACGTCACAAAATCAAATATCATCAGATTGTTTTTTGCCCAATTCCTGGAGGGAAGAACCGCTCAAAACCTGGTCAGTAGGTAACTGCTGGTGGTACAACCCGATCATCGGGACCTTCCCCAGAAGCTTGCGCTTGCCGAAATGAAACACGGAGCATTTCTCAAACAATTCTGATTTCCGCACAAGCCAACACAGCTGGGAATTCGAATGTTTCTAGCAGCACGCTGAAGCAGTGACCGGTCTGAAGCCAGCACCAGGAGGAATTACCTCTTTTTTTAATTACTTGTCAATTCATTTCAGCGCTGAGTTACTACCCATGTTTCCTCATACTCCTTCCCCACTGAACCTGGAAATAGGGATTTATCTACATTCGTACACAACGGCTTTTGCTGTAAATTCACGCTTCGCAAAAGTACTTTAACCCCTGCAAGAAAAGAAAACAGCAGTTTCTGCGACATACTATTCTTACTTCACGTGAAGCTGCAATTGCGATTTGCGAAAATGAAGTCTAACAATGTATGATAACCCCGCGATATAAATGAAAGCAAATGCGAAGAGGACGGCCATCTAAAAGAGCACCAAAAGTGCCCATGCAAAAAAAAGCCCTATCAGCGGGCGTAAAATTCAAGTAGCAGGACAAAAAACTTAGCTAAATTGTGCTGTTATGGGTTCAAAAACTTTTCAGACGCAGTGATACGGGTCGGAAGGGAGGAGATTTTAGTCAAAGAAACGCGCAGAGTCTAACCTAAACGAATACAAGTTTCGGAAAGCGATGGTTAAGGTCAGCAGAAGGACACAAAAGTGCAAAAAAAAAAAAAGAAAAAAAAGGGCTCCGGGGAACTAAAATGTAATAGTTA